TAGACTATAGACTAGACTAGACTAGACTAGACTAGACTAGACTAGACTAGACTAGACAAGACAAGACTAGACAAGACTAGACTAGACTAGACTATAGACTAGACTATAGACTAGACTATAGACTAGACTATGACTAGACTATAGACTAGACTATAGACTAGACTATAGACTAGACTAAAGACTAGACTATAGACTAGACTATAGACTAGACTATAGACTAGACTATAGACTAGACTATAGACTAGACTATGTCTAGTCTATAGTCTAGTCTATAGTCTAGTCTATAGTCTAGTCTATAGTCTAGTCATAGTCTAGTCTATAGTCTAGTCTATAGTCTAGTCTATAGTCTAGTCTATAGTCTAGTCTATAGTCTATATAGTCTAGTCTATAGTCTAGTCTATAGTCTAGTCTATAGTCTAGTCTAGTCTAGTCTATAGTCTAGTCTAGTCTAGTCTAGTCTAGTCTAGTCTAGTCTAGTCTATAGTCTAGTCTAGTCTATAGTCTAGTCTATAGTCTAGTCTATAGTCTAGTCTAGTCTAGTCTATAGTCTAGTCTATAGTCTAGTCTATCAGTCTAGTCTATAGTCTAGTCTAGTCTATAGTCTAGTCTAGTCTATAGTCTAGTCTAGTCTAGTCTAAGTCTAGTCTATAGTCTATAGTCTATCTAGTCTATATCTAGTCTATAGTCTAGTCTATAGTCTAGTCTATAGTCTAGTCTATATCTAGTCTAGAGTCTAGTCTATAGTCTAGTCTATAGTCTAGTCTATAGTCTAGTCTATAGTCTAGTCTATAGTCTAGTCTATAGTCTAGTCTATAGTCTAGTCTATAGTCTAGTCTATAGTCTAGTCTATAGTCTAGTCTATAGTCTAGTCTATAGTCTAGTCTATAGTCTAGTCTATAGTCTAGTCTATAGTCTAGTCTATAGTCTAGTCTATAGTCTAGTCTATAGTCCTAGTCTATAGTCCTAGTCTATAGTCTATCTATAGTCTATCTATAGTCTAGTCTCATAGTCTAGTCTATAGTCTCGTCTATAGTCTAGTCTATAGTCTTCTATAGTCAGTCTATAGTCCTAGTCTATAGTCTAGGTCTATAGTCTAGTCTATAGTCTAGTCCGATAAGGTCTAGTCTATCGTCTAGTCCTATAGTCTAGTCTATAGTCCCTAGTCTATAGTCTAGTTCTATAGGCCTAGTCCTATAGTCTAGGTCTATAGTCTAGTCTATAGTCTAGGTCTATAGTTTAGTCTATAGTCTAGTCTATAGTCTAGTCTATATCTAGTATAGTCTAGTCTATAGTCTAGTCTATAGTCTAGTCTAATGTCTAGTCTATAGTCTAGTCTATAGTCAGTCTATAGTCTAGTCTATAGTCTAGTCTATAGTCTAGTCTATAGTCTAGTCTATAGTCTAGTCTATAGTCTAGTCTACAGTCTAGTCTATCGTCTAGTCTATAGTCTAGTCTATAGTCTAGTCTATAGTCTAGTCTATAGTCTAGTCTATAGTCTAGTCTAGTCTAGTCTATAGTCTAGTCTATAGTCTAGTCTATAGTCTAGTCTAATAGTTCTAGTCCTATAGTCTAGTCTATAGTCTAGTCTATAGTCTAGTCTATAGTCTAGTCTATAGTCTAGTCTATAGTCTAGTCTATAGTCTAGTCTATAGTCTAGTCTATAGTCTAGTCTATAGTCTAGTCTATAGTCTAGTCTATAGTCTAGTCTATAGTCTAGTCTATAGTCTAGTCTATAGTCTAGTCTATAGTCTAGTCTTGTCCTATAGTCTAGTCTCTAGTCTTGTTTATAGTCTAGTCTCTAGTCTTGTCTATAGTCTAGTCTATTGACTGGTTTCATTTCTGAAGAAAATTTTCGATATTTTGATTTTTGATAATAAATTTTGATAAATTCGATATTTAATGCAAAATTCCGATAATTTGGTTATTTTAAAAGAATTATTGAAAAATTTTATATTAAGGACTAATTAAGAAAAAAATTAATTTTAAAGAAAATCGATAATTAATTTAAAATATATTTGATAATTATAATATTAAAAAACAATCCATTATATTCGATAAATAACTAACTTTAGAAACATTTTCTAGTTTTTGTATCAAACTAAATATGTATTACAAGCATCCAAGTATTAAATTTGCCAAATACTCAAATTTCCTTCAAAAGTCAAAAATCTAATTAACTTTTTTTCTTATCCCCCTTCTTTCCCATAATTCAACATTCACTTTGTCTACTAAAAATTTCCTTTATCCTTAATTTTATTTCATTAAAATAATCATTTAATGCAATATAAATAATTGTCAGAATAAATACAATGTATACAAAAACAAATATCCGCAATAGTTTATTTACAACAAAATACTTTTTACATTTTAATTACTACAACATCCAGCCATTCAGATTAAATGTTAGAAAATGTTAACCTTAAATGTGCAAAACCGTAAAAGGACATCGTAGGATATTTAATTAAAAACAACAAATAACAATATTATAATGAAAGTTGTAAAATCTAAATAATTTGAATACATACTAAAACTACAGACTTACAAGGTTTGTATGTGAGAATATTTGACTGTGTTTGAAAGTAAATGTAATTGGTAGTGGGATTGTTAAACGAAATTAGAAACAGCAAATCTTTTATTAAGGAACTCCCATTGTTTGGTCTGTTATTTGTTGTAAAACACAAATTCTAATTTACATATTAAAAAAAGAAAAAAACACTACTACAACTACAAACAATAAACTATAGAAATTTACAGCTACTGATACTACAGTCATTTGCCGAATAAATTTACTGCTGGTTAAAGGGATGTTACTTAAAACTTTATGCAACATTTTTTAAGAAATAATTAAGTCCACGCTGCTAGTCTAGTCTATAGTCTAGTCTATAGTCTAGTCTATAGTCTAGTCTATAGTCTAGTCTATAGTCTAGTCTATAGTCTAGCTATAGTCTAGTCTATAGTCTTCTAGTCTAGTCTATAGTCTAGTCTATAGTCTAGTCTATAGTCTAGTCTATAGTCTAGTCTATAGTCTAGTCTATAGTCTAGTCTATAGTCTAGTCTATAGTCTAGTCTATAGTCTAGTCTATAGTCTAGTCTAGTCTAGTCTATAGTCTAGTCTATAGTCTAGTCTATAGTCTAGTCTATAGTCTAGTCTATAGTCTAGTCTATAGTCTAGTCTATAGTCTAGTCTATAGTCTAGTCTATAGTCTAGTCTATAGTCTAGTCTAGTCTATAGTCTAGTCTATAGTAGTCTATAGTCTAGTCTATAGTCTAGTCTATAGTCTAGTCTATAGTCTAGTCTATAGTCTAGTCTATAGTCTAGTCTATAGTCTAGTCTATAGTCTAGTCTATAGTCTAGTCTATAGTCTAGTCTATAGTCTAGTCTAAAAAGTATTATTTTTGTTATAACTAAATTAGTACTATTTTAAAATTTAGATTTTCCATGCCTGTTATGTACAACAATTCGTTTTATTTTTTGACTTTTAAAGCGTGAATCCCGTAATCCCTTATAACTTGAACTCACGTCATCGTTTATTTGATTTTATTATTGTCATTGTTGTTGTTGTTTTCGTCGTCGTTGTTACCATTTATCGATTGATAAACAGACAAAAGGAATGACAACAAGAACAATAAAAACAACAAATAAAAGTTATAGCGTACAAAAAGGACCATAAATAGTGTGTATAATAGATAGACAACAACAGCAAAATCGCTTCAATCTTGGTAGTCGCATTAAAATTTGTAAAAGAAAGTGACAATACGATGACCTATAAAGAAAGCCAAGAAAAAAGTATGTATATAACTAAGTATACAACAAACATACTTATTAACAATGTCTAAAGCTGATGAAGCACAAAATATAGAAGAAGGTATACAAAAAACTTAAAAGACTGAAATAAAATCAATAATTACTTCAGTTAAAACAAATTTTGATAGATACCAATGGCACGTTGTAATAATAGAATATGTGTGTATTTATAGATGAAAATGAAAAAAGAAACCGAAACAAAGGAAAATAAATGGTCAGTAAACGTCATTGAAAAGAACTATTAATTATAGTTGCAAGAAGTATTGTTGTAGTAATTGTTATTTTTATAATTTGGCATTTATTTTGTTGAGAGTTTTAATGAAATGTTTGATTTACTTAAAATGTAATGGATATTAAGAATTATATTACAGATCTTCGAAAAGTTTTAATATCTAAGAAAACTTTTAAAATATATTTGATACTTATAAAGAACTAGCTATACCCAGTGTGCTTCGCAATCCTAAAAACAATAGAATTAAGAAATCTCTACAATTTTTCATATTAACTTTTTAGGGAAGAGCCACTTTTGTTAGTCTGATTTCACAGATATACGAATTTTTGTATTTAATTCATGCTGGTGTCACTCCTTCTATTTTCGGTTTGCAGATATTAGAATTTTTGTATTTAATTCATATGGGAGGTGCCACGCACCTTCTTGCTAGTCCATCCAATTCTCTCAAAAGTTCATATGGATGTCAGAGTTTGAGGATTCTAGCTCTAATAGTTTACCAGGTATTCGAATTTTTGTATATAATTTATATGGGAGTTGCCACGCCCCTATTGTAAGTTCAGCTAAATTTGGTGTTATTTAATTTGAGGATTTTAGGTGTTATATTTTCTTATATATTCTACTATTCATTATTAGGGAGGTGTCACACCTATTGCACCTAGGTCACGCATTTTGTACATATGATCATCCTGAAATTTGTTTATAGACTTCTAAGGAATTTATGATAAAACCGATATTTTCGACAAAATTCGACATATTTAGAGAAAGTTCTCTCTTTAAAGAGAGCTAATCGACACAGGTGGGTGTAGGACCAATATTTCTGGATGTTACAAACATCAGCACAAACGCATAATATAGGGTATAAAAATAAAACATAAATTTACATAAATTTGATATTTTAAGTAAATATTTTTATAAAAGAAATTTAACAAATGTTTTTCTTCTTCTTTTTCCTTTTCAGGTCGTACTCGTATTTATACTCAGTATTGCATCACTCATTATATACTTCGTTGATGCATCTAACGAAGAAGTCGAAAGATGTCAGCCATGGAGTACTAACATTACTCAACAAATCGATCTTGCATTCAATATATTTTTCATGGTTTACTTTTTTATACGAGTAAGTTTTTGGTTTGCTTTATTTTCTATTGGTCTTTAAATATTTTCTGTTTCTATTAAGTTTACGAAATTTTCAAATATTGTGATGTGTACGCAATTTGTTGGTCGGCAAAATAATGTAATGTGCTACTTGAGTTAAAGTGCCATTTTGTATAAATGAGCCAAAGGTCATGTCTTTCTGTTTAAAACTCTAAATATTACATTAAGAGTTAGGTTTTTGGGAAAAAGTTTCCAAAAAATGCACTTGTAACAGCTATATTGAAATCAGTGATAAACACAAAGAGACTATAATCAAGTTGTAATTGTTTAGTTTTTAATGAAAAATAATTAAACAAAATTTGTTTTAACTACTTTTATAAGTTTGTCTGACATTCGTGTTGTTTACTTGTAAGTAGGGTTCTATAGTTGAAACGAAAAGTCGACTTTTCGACTTTTTGCATTTAGTTATAAGTCGACTTTTCGACCTTTCGACTTTTTTCATTTATTTAAAAGTCGACTTTTAGACTTTTCGACTTTTAGTATTTTATAAATGGTCGACTTTTCGACTTTTTCCGACTTTTCGACCTTTTTCGACTTTTTCCGACTTTTTTCGACTATTTAATGACTTTTTTCGAGTTTTTCCGACTATTTTAGAGTTTTTGACTTTTAGATTTTTACGACTTTTTGACTATTTTCGACTTTTTTCGACTATTTATTGACTTTTTTCGAGTTTTCCGACTATCTTAGAGTTTTTGACTTCTTTTCCACTTTTTTAAAATTTTTGACTTTTCGACTTTTTCCGACTATTCGACTTTTTTCGACTTTCTTCGAATTTTTTCGAATTTCCGACTTTTCGACTTTTTTCACTTTTATTTACAAAGTCGACTTTTCGACTTTTTATATAGACGATAGTCGAGTTATCGACTTTTTTGGAACAAAATAGTCGACTTCGACTTTTTTCGGCAAAAAGTCGATTGTTCGATTATTCGAAAGTCGATTTATAGAACCCTACTTGTAAGCAACTAATATCTGTCTGCCTGGTGAGTGCCGATCACTGATTTAAATGCAATCTAAATGAAGTCCTTCGATACAAGCAACCCTTCAGCTGGGAAAACTTGTGTCAGTTTAAATAAATTTAAGTTCAACTAAACTCTTTACTAAATGTTATTTTTTATTTAACTATTTATCAGACTAATAACACGAGCCTCGTATGCAAGGCCATACACTCAATGCGTAAATTTTGTTACACTCACAAAAATTTTGCTTAATTTTCTCAAAATTTCTAAATGAAAAATGTATGTGTTTAAAAAAAAAAACTATTTATTTCTTCTATATATTTTATTTATGCTATTTTCTTCTTTCTATATTTTAAATCTAATTTCTTAATAAATTATGTATTTTTTTAAAATTACTTTCAAATTTAAATATTTGATTTTTCGTATTTTTTTCTTAAACAAAAACAATTTTATTTCATTTTACAGTTCATAGCGGCGTCCGATAAACTTTGGTTTATGTTAGAAATGTACAGTTTTGTAGATTATTTTACAATACCCCCGTCCTTTGTATCAATATATTTAGATCGAACATGGATCGGTAAGCTTTCAAAATTTGTTTACTTTTTTTCTTTAAAATATGATTTCTTTGGTTTTTCTTTTTGTTATTTACAAAACAAAAATCTCAATTTGAAAAAAAAAAAACGAGACGAAAAGAAAGAAAGAAAAAAATATTGTTGTTATAATTTATTATTTGTCAATCATACATACGTTTTGTCTGCTTGATCGAAATGCATGATTGTAATGATAATGCTTAACACTATTATATGTACTAGTACATTTAACAAACAACGATTATATTCCTCCTTCCTAACTTGCAATTCCAAAAAAATGTCATCATCATCGTGAAATGAAAAGGTCTTCGTTTTCTGCGAGCACTGCGTCTTATGACTGTACCGGATATATTGCAATATTTGAATGTTTTAAAAACATCCAGCTCAATACGTTTGGCGCAATTGGTATCAATTTTTATATCCGTGTGGTTAACAGCAGCTGGTATTATACATCTGGTATGTTGAGAAACTCTTTTTTTATTATTTATTCTTTGTTTAATTGTCTATATGTATATATTGATATTGTTGTTTGTGTTTATTATTATGTTTGTAACACTGTGTGATAATTTTCGTTTATTGCAAGGTTAACAACTTGTAACTGATATTTGTTTCTGAAACAAAGTTTTTTTTTGTCAGTTGAAAGGTGTTATTATCTCAGACTAGACTATAGACTAGACTATAGACTAGACTATAGACTAGACTATAGACTAGACTAGACTAGACTAGACTATAGACTAGACTATAGACTAGACTATAGACTAGACTATAGACTAGACTATAGACTAGACTATAGACTAGACTATAGACTAGACTATAGACTAGACTATAGACTAGACTATAGACTAGACTATAGACTAGACTATAGACTAGACTATAGACTAGACTATAGACTAGACTATAGACTAGACTATAGACTAGACTATAGACTAGACTATAGACTAGACTATAGACTAGACTATAGACTAGACTATAGACTAGACTATAGACTAGACTATAGACTAGACTATAGACTAGACTATAGACTAGACTATAGACTAGACTATAGACTAGACTATAGACTAGACTATAGACTAGACTATAGACTAGACTATAGACTAGACTATAGACTAGACTATAGACTAGACTATAGACTAGACTATAGACTAGACTATAGACTAGACTATAGACTAGACTATAGACTAGACTATAGACTAGACTATAGACTAGACTATAGACTAGACTATAGACTAGACTATAGACTAGACTATAGACTAGACTATAGACTAGACTATAGACTAGACTATAGACTAGACTATAGACTAGACTATAGACTAGACTATAGACTAGACTATAGACTAGACTATAGACTAGACTATAGACTAGACTATAGACTAGACTATAGACTAGATTATAGACTAGACTATAGACTAGACTATAGACTATACTATAGACTATACTATAGACTAGACTATAGACTAGACTATAGACTAGACTATAGACTAGACTATAGACTAGACTATAGACTAGACTATAGACTAGACTATAGACTAGACTATAGACTAGACTATAGACTAGACTATAGACTAGACTATAGACTAGACTATAGACTAGACTATAGACTAGACTATAGACTAGACTATAGACTAGACTATAGACTAGACTAAAGACTAGACTATAGACTAGACTATAGACTAGACTATAGACTAGACTATAGACTAGACTATAGACTAGACTATAGACTAGACTATAGACTAGACTATAGACTAGACTATAGACTAGACTATAGACTAGACTATAGACTAGACTATAGACTAGACTATAGACTAGACTATAGACTAGACTATAGACTAGACTATAGACTAGACTGTAGACTAGACTATAGACTAGACTATAGACTAGACTATAGACTAGACTATAGACTAGACTATAGACTAGACTATAGACTAGACTATAGACTAGACTATAGACTAGACTATAGACTAGACTATAGACTAGACTATAGACTAGACTATAGACTAGACTATAGACTAGACTATAGACTAGACTATAGACTAGACTATAGACTAGACTATAGACTAGACTATAGACTAGACTATAGACTAGACTATAGACTAGACTATAGACTAGACTATAGACTAGACTATAGACTAGACTATAGACTAGACTATAGACTAGACTATAGACTAGACTATAGACTAGACTATAGACTAGACTATAGACTAGACTATAGACTAGACTGTAGACTAGACTATAGACTAGACTATAGACTAGACTATAGACTAGACTATAGACTAGACTATAGACTAGACTATAGACTAGACTATATAATCTATTGGCTATTCCATGGGCTAACCTATGGACCATTCTACGGACTAGTTTATAGACGAGTGAACTATAATCTAGTCTATTGATCACTCAATGGACTAGTAGTCTATGGATTGTTCTATCAAGAAGTCCAGTCTATTGACTAGCCCATGAACTACTACATTTACTAATATATGAACTAGTCTCTTGACTAGTTACGACTGCAGTTCCAAAATTATGAATAAGAAATTATTGTTACACAGTGTTGTAATTAAAATAATTATTTATATATGTTCTCTTTAAAAACTAATATCCCAGCTAAAAACGATCATATATGATTATATATGGATCATATATGAATCATATATGAACCATATATATTCTTATATGTTCATATCCGAAAAATGACGATATATGATCATGTCATATATGGACACATATATGGAATCATATATGAAAAATTTTTCCATATATGGATAAGTACGGAAATATATGAACAAATATGGAAATAAATGAAAATATATGGAGATTAAGCCCAAATCCGCCAATTTTCGGATATGAACAAATATGAAAATATATGCTTCATATATGAATCCATATATGATCCATACACAATCTTTTTAAGCTGGGATCTTAAATTAAACTTTAAATAATGGTTCAGCATTTAAGAGATTTTCTATCAAGCCAGAGAGTTTTAAAATCAATGATTGAACTGTTAAAGCTTTGGAACCGTATTTGAAGTTTAATTTGTTTATTAAAAAACTACTTTACTCAATGTTTCTTATAATATACTGTAAATATTTAAAATAACCTTTTAAAGCAACAAAATATGTCCAATAGTATAAACTTTACAATTTTACTATCTACTTGTAAAAAAAAACTTCAAATACTTTCATATAAAAGATATAAAATTTTTTAAATTAAATTGATTTTGTATGAAAGTAAATGATTATTGTGCAGCACACAATCTATAAAGTAATGTTGTATAGATGCAACCTTACAACATAAGTTGTGAATTGCATAAATGTTCTTTTTAAATGTTGTTGATAAATGTGATTGAAAATAATGTGATTTGTGTTTTAATGTAAAATGTTGTGATGATGATGTTAATGAAATGTTTCTGATGAACAATTCTTGCATTTACTTAAAATTTAGCTGGAAAACTCTGGCGATCCGCTGGATTTTAATAATGCACATCGTTTATCCTATTGGACCTGTGTCTATTTTCTAATTGTAACCATGTCAACAGTAGGATATGGTGATGTATACTGTGAGACTGTTTTGGGAAGAACATTCCTAGTGTTCTTCTTACTCGTTGGTTTGGTAAGTTTTATTTTCGTTTATTTATTATATTTTAAGAAAAAAAAAAAACACTACTTTTTATTAATTTTAATATTTTTAAGAAATTTTTGTATTTAAAAAATACTATTTTCTAGTATTTTTTAAAAGAGGTTTTTAAAAAGGAATTCTAGGAACAGGGACTTGTTTGTTAAGTTAAGTAAGCTGCTGCCAATTTAAATGTAAGGGTTTCAACAGTTAGATCTTATATTTTCCCCCTTTTAAGAGTAAACAACAAGATATATAACATTTACATAAGTGCTGTTCGTTTAATATTGATGAGGTTTCTTTTGTTGAATAAATTTTTTAACACATTTTTTCCATGTATACAACACTGTATATTATCCAAAAAAAAAAAAAACAACGGTTGTGTGAATGAAAGTAAAAATAAAAATAATAAAAAATATCAAAAGTATTTTACTACTTTTAAATACTACATATTTACTACTAACTACTTACTACTGTTTTTTTTTAGTGTTTAGTTTGCTGCTATTAGACAGTAAGGTCTTGATATATATTTCTTTCCTTTTATAAATAACAAAACAAAAAATTTTATAAAAAAGTAAAAATATTCAATTAAGTATCATTAAATTCAACAAAATATTCATCTCATTAAAAAATTCTCTTTTTTAACTTTTAATTTTATGTTGATACTTTTTTGAAACAATTACGTTATTTATTATTAACTATTTAATTAATAAATAATTAAAATAAATAAATTTTACGCCTTAGTAATTTGTGCACTTTATCAATTCATTTTAGTTTACACAACATTACTAAAGTTATTTCGAAATATTATTATACATAATTTATCTAATTACTTAATTAATTAATTAATTATTATAAATTTTATTTAATTTTCTCTTATTTCAAATTAAATGAAAATATTTTCCATTTTATTATCATTAGATTTTTTTCAATTCCCTTTAATTTTAAAAACAACCAGCAAATTTAAAAACTTGAAAAAATAAATTAAAATTAGTAAAGGTTTTCGTTAAGTACCAGCTGTTAATTTTTGTTATTAGTTTTATATTAAATTGAATTTGAGTTTCAAATCATCAATTTGCATGCTCACATTCATTGCGAACAGTCATAGTTTGATTTTTCTTTAAATTTTTCTTATTTTGTTTTTCAGTTTAATGTTAACAAATTATTTATTTTATATCTTAATTTTTATTATTATTTATTTTAATATCAATTCATGAAAGTTTTTTTTTTCAATGTCCAGCATTTGTATTGGTTTATTTTTTGCGTTCGAAAGGTTTCTAGGGTTTACATTTCTATATAAAGAAAGCAGGACTCTTATATTGCATGCTATGCTGGCGGCTGCATAAATGTGTTTAACAGCTTGAAAAAGTATTTAAAAATTTATTTTTTAATAATCTAAGTTAGTTGAGGGCCTTAATTGTCAGGAATTCTTTTAGGTTAAACATTTTATTTTACCTTTTTTCCTCATTGTGTAATATGCTATACCACTGTGCAGAGTTTAGCGTTATAATAAAAAATATGAACCCTACTATTGCTTTAAGCCCGATTAAAGTTTACAATTTCTTTCAGTACAGATTTCTTTCTATTTAAAAACAGACGAATTTATCATTCGTCTCATCCAGACTAGACTACATACTAAAGCAGGCTATAGCCTACACTACAGACTAGACAGTAGACTAGAATATATTTGACATTAGACTAGACTATAGAATAGACTACATATTAGACTATAGACTAGACCATAGACTAGACTATAGACTAGACCATAGACTAGACTATAGACTAGACTATAGACTAGACTATAGACCAGACTATGGACTAGACTATAGAATAGACTATAGACTAGACTATAGACTAGACTAGAGACTGGACTATAGACTGGTCTAGCATAGACTATAGACTTGTCTAGACTAGACTGGACTATAGACTAGACTATACAATAGACTATAGACTAGACTATAGACTAGACTATAGACTAGACTATAGACTAGACTATAGACTAGACTATAGACTAGACTATAGACTAGACTATAGACTAGACTATAGACTAGACTATAGACTAGACTATAGACTAGACTATAGACTAGACTATAGACTAGACTATAGACTAGACTATAGACTAGACTATAGACTAGACTATAGACTAGACTATAGACTATACTATAGACTATACTATAGACTAGACTATAGACTAGACTATAGTACTAGACTATAGACTAGACTATAGACTAGACTATAGACTAGACTATAGACTAGACTATAGACTAGACTATAGACTAGACTATAGACTAGACTATAGACTAGACTATAGACTAGACTATAGACTAGACTATAGACTAGACTATAGACTAGACTATAGACTAGACTATAGACTAGACTATAGACTAGACTATAGACTATACTATAGACTAGACTATAGACTAGACTATAGACTAGACTATAGACTAGACTATAGACTAGACTATAGACTAGACTATAGACTAGACTATAGACTAGACTATAGACTAGACTATAGACTAGACTATAGACTAGACTATAGACTAGACTATAGACTAGACTATAGACTAGACTATAGACTAGACTATAGACTAGACTATAGACTAGACTATAGACTAGACTATAGACTAGACTATAGACTAGACTATAGACTAGACTATAGACTAGACTATAGACTAGACTATAGACTAGACTATAGACTAGACTATAGACTAGACTATAGACTAGACTATAGACTAGACTATAGACTACACTATAGACTACACTATAGACTAGACTATAGACTAGACTATAGACTAGACTATAGACTACTATAGACTAGACTATAGACTAGACTATAGACTAGACTATAGACTAGACTATAGACTAGACTATAGACTAGACTATAGACTAGACTATAGACTAGACTATAGACTAGACTATAGACTAGACTATAGACTAGACTATAGACTAGACTATAGACTAGACTATAGACTAGACTATAGACTACACTATAGACTACACTATAGACTACACTATAGACTAGACTATAGACTAGACTATAGACTAGACTATAGACTAGACTATAGACTAGACTATAGACTAGACTATAGACTTGACTAAAGACTAGAGTATAGACTGAACTATATACTAGACCATAGAGTAGACTATAGAGTAGACTATAGATAAGACTATATATTAGACTATAGACTAGACTATAGATTAGACTATAAACTAGACTATTGACTGAGCTATAGGCTAGACTAGAGGATAGGTTAGCCTATAGACTAAACTATAGACTATTGGCTAGACTACAGATTAGACTATAGACTAGACTATTGACTAGATTATAGACTCGACTATGGACTAGATTATAGATTCGATTATGGACTAGACTATAGACTAAACAATAGCCTATACTATGGACTAGTCAATAGGGACTGAGAAGTTATAGTCTGAAAATAAAAGCTAATATAAAGTTATCTTCAGTTAATCGCAAAAAACGGTGGTATAGCATATATAAAAAAACGGTTTTTAACCGATTCCTTTAATTACCCCTAAGTATAGGATTTAATTTAGAAAAATTGAAGATTTTTCATAATATTTTATTTTTTACTTTATTTTCCTATTAACTATAAATAATTCTAAATAAAAATTATAAATATAATTTTTTTATATATATATATAAATAAAAACAATGTCAAACAATAAATACAAAAATAACCCCCGAAATTTTAGGCAATGTTTGCCAGCAGTATACCGGAAATTATTGAACTTGTTGGTAGTGGCAATAAATATGGCGGCGAACTTAAAAGAGAACACGGAAAGAGGTAGTCTAACAAATTCAAAATGAATTAAAAAAACAAGTAAAAAAATAAAAATATATTAAACACCCCCAAAATATATAAAAAAAATCATAACTAACATGATCATTTTTCAAACAGTACTCTTACTCTCTTTTATATATAAAAATATCAAAAAAGAAGCATTTAAGCATTTGTAAAATATTTTTTTTAAGAAAAAAAAAAAAAAAAAAAATCCTATATAAAAGAAAATAAAATATACTTTTATTAATTTTGTTTTATAAAATTATAATTTTAAAATAAATCTTAAAGGGGGTTTAAAGCCTAAGATTTTTTAAAGCTAAAGAAAGTTTAACTTAAATTGTTTAGATATTTTAAATAATAAAAAGCTTTCAAAATTCTAGGCTGACGTTTTGCAGCCAGTTTTAAACTTGTGTGATATATATTAAGCTGGTTGGTTAAACTAAACCCTAAACTTATAAGGGTAATTGTTAAAGGACTGTTACAGTTGTGTTAATTTTTACCTTAATAAGTTTTTATTAAGATTTTTTTTTAATATATTATTATTTTTTGTTAACTACTAAAATATTTTATACTTTGAGTTGCTAATTAAGAAAAAACAAATAAATTTTGCTAACAAAATACCTTTCACCACTCAGATAAGTCAGTTAAGAAGTTGCTTTTTTCTTGTATTATTTCCTCTTATTGTTTTTTTACAGTTTTATGAAAATTAATTTTATTTAGCACCATTATTTGTTTTTTTTTTCTTTTTTGAACAAATATTTTAATTTGTTTTTTATAATTGTTATTAAATACATTACTTTTGTTTTAAGTTTTGGATTTATTGTAATTCTTTCTATATTAGTCTGTTACCCTTATTTTGGTTTGGTTTTGTAATGTAGCATTAAACAACAAATAAAACAAATATATCTATTATCACCATTTACCACCAAATTACCTAAAAAACAACCAACCAATCTACCAATCGAACCAATCAACCATCCACCCACCCAACAACCAAACAACCACAATGAACAGAATAATAACAATTTAAAATTTAGGGAATTCCCTAAAAATAAAGTGAATAAAATCAAAGTAAAAAATAAAAAGAAAATGTCATTTTATATCCCTCCATTAAAGTAATTTATCAAATATCTCTTCCTTTCATCTAGCACCCATATCCGTTACTTGAACCTTGCTAACTTCCTCCCTACCACAAACTCCTCTCCCTCTCTCTCACAAATTCCTTTATATTTGTTTCCCTTTAACTCTAAAGAAAAAAAAGAAATCTCTCATTAACTACTCACTTAATAATGTTTTGTTTCTTTTGGCAAATGGAGAATTAAATACTCATCTTTCGTATCACTCTCTCACCAATTTTCTCCATTGTTTTTTATTCGCTCTTTTTTTTCAATCCACCATGTTGTTTGCTGTTATTTTTTTCATTTTGTTTGTTTTTGTTATTGAAAAAAAAAAGTATAAAATGAAGAAAAACCCTCTTTAAATGAATTTTGTAACAAACATTTCAAATCAATCAATCATCCTGTCATTTTTTTGTAACAATTTTATTTAATAATTTTGCCAAATAAAAGGGAAATTTATACTCTCTACACTTTTCACCATCACCAGGTAGTTTAGTTTACTAGTGAGTTGAGCCTGTTGGAAATTTTTTGAAAAAAAAAAAATTAAATATTTCTTTAAACAACTGTTGTTTCTTGTTATGATTCTAATTATTAGTTACGTTTTTAATCATTTTTATTAACACTTGTAGTTTATCATTTAACTTAATATTCAAAATAATATCATAAATAAAATTGTTTTTAAAATTGATATAAAAAAATAAAGATTTTCAAACAAAAATTTTTAAATAAATAAAAGTTTTGAAAAGAAAAAGTTTTTAAAAAATAAGGTATAGTTAAATAAAATTTTGTTTGAAAATCATAAAGACATGTTAAAGATTGGTTTAGAATTTTAGAAAATATTGAATGTTAGATTAAAGCTTTGAAATCAATGTGGCAACACATTTCTCTCCTTCTCTCGAAAGCTTTTTCTGGCTTTTCATCAAGAGCTAAATAAAGTTTTGAAAAACTTTTTTTTTTTAACAAAAATGGATTTTTAGTGAAAGATAGAATTCTTAGTAATTTTAGCAAAAAAACAAACTTTTGTGAAAATTTAAACTGTTAGTGAAAAATCGGATTTTAAGTGAAAAATCGGAAATTAACATTTTTTGTAAAAATCGAGTTTAATTAAAAAATCGTATTTAAAAAAAAAAATAAAAATTAAGTAATAATAATTCAAAATTTTAGTGAAAATTCCAAATCAAAATTTTTGCGAAAATTCAAAATTTTAAAAAACCGAAAAGTGACATTTTAGTAAAAACGTATTTTTAGCATTCAATTCAAAAAATTCAGTAAAAATAGAATTTAAATAAAAAATCGTATTTTTAATAAAAAAAAAATTTAAATTGTAGTAAATATTTTAATTTTTAATACAAATTTTGAAATTTTAGTAGAAATTTTAAATAATAGTGAAAAAAAACAAGTTAATTTTTAATATAAATTTAAAATCGAATATGAATAAAAAATTTAATCAGTTTTGATTTAATATTTGAAATTTTAATGAAAATTCGAAATTTTAGTAGAAATCTTAAATTTTAGTGAAAAAAATTCAAAATTTTTTAGCGAAAATTCAAAATTTCAGTGAAAACTCGAAATTTTAATAAAAACTGAAATTTTAATAAAAAATTCTAAATTTTAATAAAACTTCGAAATTTTAATAAAAATTCGAAATTTTTAGAAAATTCTATTTTTTTTAGTAAAATACGAATTTTTTTTATAAAAAAACTATATTTAATAAAAATTCATAATATTAGTACTAATTTTAAATTTTAGTAGAAATTTGAAATTTTTATGAAAATTCAAAATCTTTATGAAAATTCGAAATTTTTATGAAAATCCGAACATTTTTTAGTAAAAAATCAAATCTGTGAAAAATCAGACTTGTTAATAAAAGTATGAAATTTTAGTCAAAACTCAGAATTACAGTGAAAAATAAAACATTTTTATAAAAAATTTAATTTTAATAAAAATTCAAAAAATTATTTTCAATAAAAATTTAAAATTTCAGTAAAAATAGAATTTGAATAAAAAACTCGTTTTTTGACGTTTTAATAAAAATTCGAAATTTTTGTAAAAATACGATACTTTAGTACAAAATCGTAATTTTTATGAAAATTAGAAAATTTTATTAAAAAATATTTATTTGCTTATTAAAGTTCAAAATGTACAAATTCATAATTTTATTCGAAATTTCAAATTTCAATGAAAATTCAAAATTTTAATAAAAATTCGAAATTTTTTATTAATAATTTTAAATTGTTAGTGAAAATTTTAAATTTGTGTTTAAAAAATTTTATGTTTATTAAAAAAAAAAAAATAGTCATTCAGTTAGAAACAGAATTAATCTTTTAAACAAAAATTTTGAATAAAAGTTTGAGCTCGAATGATATCCAGATTCTTCCTCTTTTTAAAATAGAGAAAGTAAATTTTGTAAGTTTTTTTGTAAATACGAACTTTCCTGTCGGGATCTATTAAGGGTTCAAAGTTCGCTCCGATTCTAATGAGAATCATAAGTGAGAGGGTTCATTTAAGAAGGGTGGGAGACCAAACGTAAGGGATATACTCAATTTTAGATTTTGAAACTGAAAATAAATCAGATCATTACAGAATATCAATCAATGATCTTATAAATTTCTCCACCAATTTCGACGATCACGCTTTAATTCCTATAGCTATGGTGATCTTGATATGTTCAGTTTTGAAAGAAGGCTGGACTTAGAGAACTGCAGTTCCTTAAGTTCCGAATAGGCTCTGTTCCGAATTCCCTCACTAGCTCTTCTTCCCTTATTGCTTCTCTTCAGCAAAAGAAGTCCCATTAATGAGTTTCGTAAAACAAAAGAGAAATGACAATATTTATTAATTAATCAATAAAATTTATAATTCACAATATTTTTATACTGAACAATTTTATTAAAATTATTTAACTCCGATTTCAAAGGTCTATATTGTATTACTCGCATATTTACATTTCTAAATACCAATCTTTAACATGCTATTTAAATAACAATATATAATTTTGATTTAATTAAATAATAACCCATATAAAACATTCTAAGTGTTGTGATTTAAAACAAAGTCCAATTTATATATAGTCTATTTTTTTTACAAAATCGTTTTATACATATATATTTTTTCTAATAAAACGTAAACGTCTATTTATTGCGCTACTGCTAATTGTGTTTTCTTCACCACAAAATTGTGTCTTATATAATTTTTTTTAAATAAAACTCTACATAAAATAATTTAAACACTAATTTACGAACAGCAGCAACATTAAGTGAGAACTACTTCTTTAAAAAAAAGGGTCACGCATTACGTTGTTAAGAGCAGGAGTTTTTTTTAAGGTTAAGAGTTTTACTATAAGAATTTTATTCTATATTTAAGTCGAGCCATATTTGTTTTTGTCTTTGTCCAATTCATATTTTTTTGGTTTTGATTATTATTTTTCTTTTTTGTTTATTTTAAGTTAAATTTTCTCATTACATTTAATTATTAGTTATAAATGTTAATTTTCTTCATAGTATTTAAGTAATTATGAAAATTTAAAAAAATATTGCTCAAATTATGATAAAAATTAAATGAAAATTTTAGATTTTCACCGATTTCTCCTTGAAGATATCCAGATTAGACTGATGAATCTATATTCATATTCATCCTTTTCCTTAAAGGTGAAAATGTTCTAAATTCGTTAACAAAAGAAACTTCAAACTTCTTATAAATTCTTTAACAAAATTTACGATTTTCATTATAAACTAGACTATAGTATGGACTTAATACCAGACTATAGACTGGGCTATACTTTGAACTATATATAAACATGGACTATGCCATTGTATGGACTATATAGTAGACAATTGTCAGCATTATAGACTATACTATAGCCTGGACTATAGACTAAAGTATTGTCTAGACTCTAGAATAGACTATTGTCTGAACTATAGGCTAAACTATTGTGTGGAGTATATACTAGACTATAGCGTGGATTATGGACTAGATTGTAGCCTGGACTATAGACTAAACTATTTTCCTGACTATAGACTGAACTAATGTCTGGATTATTTACTAAACAATGGTCTGGACAA